ATGGAATTTCCCAAATGAAAACCACATACACTGTTTTCATTTGATTCTTTGAATGAAAACAGTGTGGTAAAACATCTCTCACCACATATAGTGTGAATTGGCCCTCATTTTCTCTTTTGTCTATGGGACAGAAGTGAAAGGAAATCTTCCTAATGAGACACAGAAGGCGAAAAAAAAAAAAAAAAAAAGTTTTGCCTTCTACTTTATAGAAACACTGTTACCTTGCCCTTCCAGGACAAATTAACAGTCCCTTTAAAGACCCCTGTCACAGTCCTTCCTCCACTGTAGCCCCCACAAAATACCCAGTGCTTCCAGAAATGAGAAGACATGACAGCTCCCATGATGATGTGCCTGGGTTTATTGTCAGGCCCGAACACTGTCACATGGCTGTAAGCTCAGACACCTCTTATTTGCACTGGTGGAAGGAGCAGAAAAGAGGGGGTTGAGTACATAGGTCAGGGGATGGTCTTTTAAGAGATCCTACCACTTTGCCGTCAATGGGCAGGGTCTTTTTAAATGCCGGAAGTTGTTTGTTTTTTAACTAGTATCTATTTAGGGGCGAGTTTGATATCCTAGAATTGCTATGCCTCTAGCTCTTCCAAATATCAGAGTATAGCTTAAAGTGGTTCTAAAGGCACAAGGTTTTTTACCTTCATGCATTCTATGCATGAAGGTAAAAACATTTCTGTGTGCAGCAGCCCCCCCTAATACTCACCTAAGCCCCCACTCGATCCAGCGATGTGCACTGGAGTCTCGGCTATCCCAGGACTCCCTCTTCTCATTGGCTGAGACAGAAGTAGGAGCCATTGGCTCCCACTGCTGTCAATCACAGCCAGTAAGCCAATGAGAAGAGAGAGGGTGCGGGGCCGAGCCACTGCTCTGTGTGTGGAATGGACACACAGAGCGGCGGGTGCCCCCTTAGCAAGCTGCTTGCTGTGGGGGCACCCAACAGGAGGTAGGGGCCAGGAGAGCCTGCAGGGGACCCGAGAAGTGGAAGATCCAGGCTGCTCTGTGCAAAACCACTACACACAGCAGATAAGTATAGGCATGTTTGTTATTTATTTTTAAACAAAATAAGCCTTTAGAATCACTTTAAGTCAATGAACCATGGAAATTATAGAAGTTGAAAGTCAAAATGGATAGCATTCATTATAGGCCCTGTAAAATGCCCATACGGAAAATAAAAAGACATTCAGAAGAAGTAGTTCTAAAAAAAAATAGGGTTACTTTTTCTTGTTATGCATGTAACATCATTATCGCTTAATAGAAATGTTTCTGTAATTTTTTTTTTCATCTGAAATCTGAAGACAAACTTGGGAAATTGTAAGCAAACCTGGACCCCTTAAACAGAAAATATTTTATCTACAAGTTTTAACCTAGTGTTACTGACAATATAGGCTTTCTGGGGGTCTGACAGCCTGCTACCAATTGACCTCCCTTTAGTCCAAGTTCCTGTCTTCCCACTCTATCTTTTTTCTCCCTATTCCACCTTTTTCCCTTTGTTTCAGCAACTTCATACCCCTGTAAACTTTATACCCAACTGGAGTACAAATACACCCCTACAAAATCCTTATACATGCCTAACTCCAGAATTCATTGGTTCAGTTAGGTGATGTCACAGGTCCTCTTCACTCCTCTTCTTCTGGGGGTGGGAGGACCCTAAATACTACAGAGAGCAATGGCATGTAATGACTGTGAGCCCAAAGTGGGGGTTGGCTTGCACACTGACCTGGCCACTGAACCAGCACTGGTTCTTTTCTGGGCTAAAATGACACTCATGGTCATTCAACCAGGAAAAGGAAAACCTGGATGGCAAACTGGTTCTATGCAGTAAGCTAAAAACCTTCTGGATGGGAAACCTGGAAAACCTGGATGGGAAACTGGTTCTATGCAGTAAGGTAAAAAAAAACCTTCTGCATGCAGCTTCCCCTGCAGCCCCTCTAAATACATACCTGAACCTGATCTCAGTCCTGCAATGTGCTTGAGAGCTGAGTCTCTCTCAGCTCTATCACTCCTCATTGGCTCAGATATTGTAGCATCCATTTCCATTGGCTCCCACTGCTGTCAATCAGAGCCAGTGATAAGGGAGCAGGGGGGGCAGGGCTGAGCCCCACTCTGTGTGTCTCATGCACACACAGAGCAGGGTTCGGGAACATGCATGCACAAGTGCTCCCATAGCAAGCAGCTTGCTATGGTGGGCACGTGGTGGAGGGGATTGGAACCATGTGGGTGGGAACTTGCGGTGGACCAGGGAAGAGCAGGATCAAGGCTGCTGAGTGCAAAACCAAAAAGCAGGAAAGTATAACATGTTTGTTATTTTAATTTAAAAAAAAATAGACATGAAAAGTGAACAAAGTGCATCTTTTTATTGTCTGAATACAAAGCAACAAGGCAGGTTCTTCGCTGATCTCTGATTCTTCTGCTATCTGCATGAGTCTCTCATAAAACTCTAAGCTAAAAAACTTAGCTCTCCAGAGGTCAGCCCGACCCCCACTCCAGCATACAGCAAGTGACTCATTCACTCAGCTCTGTGACCCTGTTAGAGGAGGTGTGTCCCTTTCCTCTAGTTAGCTATTGGATTTCACAGAGCTCTGTGCTCTAGCTTTGCAGTGTGTGTGACATCGGATGCTTTTCATCAGATGACATCTTCTGTTTTTTGCTGCTGAGAGATGCTGTGTTTTAGAAGGCAGTAGAAGAGAGGGATTTAGATAAACAGGTACAACGTACAGTATGTTGGAGTATTTATTTAATCTCTTTGTATCCCTGTGGCTAGTCACGTCACTGGGTATATGTAAGGGTTTACAACCACTTTAGTTATTGCTAGCAACAGACTGCATCACATATGCCATTTTCACTTTTACCTATAGTTCAGCTTTAAACCAACACATACCAAAATTACAACCCAAGGGCTTAAGAACATCAAGGAAACTCTTTCAGGCTTGCAGAAAGCTTTCTTAATACTTTTTGTATATGGTAGTCTTCAGCAGCATTTTCAAGAAGGGCCAAAATCAATAGTGAGAGATTTTATTTGAGCAAATTCTAATTTTAGTGTTTTTTTCTAATGTTGGTCCTTTAGTGTTCCTCTGTGAAAATTAAACTGTAAAGGGCTCTTTCTCACTGCTAAGGCCACATACAGGCAGTGATGACAGCTGACAGCTATGTAATGAATAAAGGTTTACTAATAACATTTTACCGACACATTAATGTAGTGCATTGACATTTCTCCACAACTGTGTCTGACATAGAATAATTGGTTTGGAAATGTTACAGCCCTGTGGTCGATCTGTATATTTATAATAGTTCATACTGTGGCTTTCAAGTTAGCTAGCCTTAAAACATAAATTAAATAAGTACCCTTTTCCTTTTTAGAATCTTGAATTCACATTTGATACAAAAAGGAGGTAAAATCACCTTTATAAAGTGTGTTTAAAGCTGAACTTCAGACAAGCAACAAAATACGCCTATCAAATACATATATGGGAGATGTTTAACCTGCCAAAGCATTTGTATTTCCATCCATCTCTGCCACATAGCACAGCCCTGTCTGGCATGGCACCAGAATTTATCTAGCTTTAATTAAGTAACAATGGACTTGCCCCGCCCCCAGCCTGTGACTGGACAGTGAAAGCAGAAGCAGAAGACTGATCTCTCTGCTCTCTCCTCTTTTCCGTATGCTGTTTACAGCATATGAAAATTATATATATTTATATAATGTACCATGCCCATTGGCTCTTTATCTTTTACCTCCAACCACCTCAATACCGGGCACTTTCACCCCTTTACTGCCCAGACCAATTTTTCAGCTTTCAGTGCTGTCGCAATTTTTGAATGACAATTGCGCAGTCACGCAACACTCTACCTAAATGAAATTTTTATAATTTTGTTTTCCACACAAATAGAACTTTCTTTTGATGGTATTTAATCACCACTGGGATTTGTATTTGTTGCTAAAATTTCTGTTATAAATTTTTCAAATAAGTAATTTTTCTTCTTCACTGATGTACGCTGATGAGGCTGCACTGACGGGTATTTATAGGTTGCACTGTTGGGCACTGATATGCTGCATTGATGGGGCTACAGTGATGGGCACTGATATGTTGCACTTATGGGCATTGATATGCTGCACTGATGGGCACTGTTGAGCACTGATAGGCTGCACTGATGGGGCTACACTGATGGGCACTGATATGCTGCACTGACAGCCACTGATATGTTGCACTGATGGGGCCGCACTGATCATCAGGGCACTGATGATCAGTGTCATGATTATCAGTGTAAACGTCCCTTGTCACAGGAAAGCTGGTTATCGGCTTTCCTTTCCTCAGTGCTGTGACATAACCGACATTTGTTTACATGTGATCAACTGTGTACACAGCTGATCACATGGTAAACAGCCAATGTCATTGGTTCTTTACCTGATCAGTGATGCAGTGAGGGACACAGCACACCACCGATCGCCATGCTGCGGGCCCTCATCATGTGATGTCCCCCAACCAGTTAATCAGCTGTGTCCTATCACAGCATAATCACAAGACTATGCACATTCAAACGTGCTTAGGATCTCAGTTCCCAGAGGACATGCAAATATTTCCTCTCGGAACAATAAGCGAGCAGAACAAACACAGTATAGGTGCTGGTCTGCAAGATGTTAATGATGTGTTATTGAATACAGAGCTGCATAAATTTGTGTACTTTATATCTATCTAAATTTCAGCTTTAAATTTGCTCTAATAGGGAATAAATCCCTTTGTGGTCCCCACAGGCAATCATATATTCCCTGGACAAACATTCTACAGTGTTATTTCTATCAATATTAATACCCAGTTTATTCTGTGCATTGGGAAGCATCCAGCTGTTTTTTAAGCAATTGCTTTGAAGCCAAATCTTTTGCTACAACTTTTAAGTGAACAACTTTCTACCAAGTTTAGCGTGTGTATATATATATTTATACATACACACACACACTATATTGCCAAACGTATTGGGCCAGCCCTCCAATCATTGGATTCAAGTGTTCCAATCACCTCCATAGCCACAGGTGTATACAATCAAGCACCTAGGCATGCAGACTGCTTCTACAAACATTTGTGAAAGAATGGGTCACTCTCAGGAGCTCAGTGACTTCAAGCGTGGTACCATGATAGGTTTCCACCTGTGCAATAAGTCCATCCATGAAATTTCCTTGCTGCTAAATATTCCACGCTCAACTGTTAGTGGTATTATAACAAAGTGGAAGCAACTGGGAACAACAGCAACTCAGCTATGAAGTGGTAGACTATGTAAAATGAGAGTGGGGTCAGCACATGCTGAAGCTCACAGTGCGTATAGTTGTCAACTGTCTGCAGAGTCAATAGCTAAAGACCTCCAAATTTCATGTGGCCTTCAGATTTGCACAACAAAAGCGTGTAGGGAGCTTCATGGAATGGGTTTCCATGGCCAAGCAGCTGCATCCAAGCTTTACATCACTAAGTGCAATGCAAAGCATCGGATGCACTGGACTCTAGAACAGTGGAGATGTGTTCTTTGGAGTGATGAATCATGCTTCTCTGTCTGGCAATCTGATGGACGTGTCTGGGTTTTGCAGTTGCCAGGTGAATGCTACTTGCCTGACTACATTGTGCCAAGTGTAAAATTTGGTGAAGGGGGGATTATGGTGTGGGGTTCTTTTTCAGGGGTTGGGCTTTGCCAGTGAAGGGAACTCTTATGGGATCAGCATACCAAGACATTTTGAACAATTTCATGCTCCCAACTTTGTAGGAACAGTTGGGGATGACCCCTTGCTGTTCCAACATGACTACGCACCAGTGCACAAAGCAAGGTCCAAAAAGACATGGATGAGTGAGTTTGGGGTGGAGGAACTTGACTGGCCTGCCTTAACGTGATAGAAGACCTTTGGAATGAATTAGAGTGGTGACTGCGAGCCAGGCCTTCTTGTCCAACATCAGTGCCTGACCTCACAAATCTTCCCAGAAGAGATTAAGCTGTTATAGCTGCAAAGAGTGGGCCAGCTCAAACTCAGTTGAACCCTACGGACTAAGACTGGGATGCCAAGTTCATGTGCGTGTAAAGGTAGACGTCCCAATACTTTGTGCAATATAATGTATATGTAATCTAAGGTACAAGGATCAGTTGATTTTTTGCAGTAGAAATCTGCTGTATGTCCCTAATCGCTAATCGGAATGTAACCTTAAGTTACTGTAAGCAGGGCCCTTGTAAAAGATAATGCAACTTGGTGCCTGAGGCTGACCATACACTATACAGTCTGATTGTATAAATGTCCATCTACTATCAACTATGTAGTACAAGAGCCCGTCTTGATACATATTCAAATGGATTATATAGGTCATTATATTACATAATTTTGGTAAATCTAAAGAAAATCTCATAGACTGTACAATCAGATTATATAGTGTTTGGGCAGTTTAAACTTTACCATAAAAGTTTGATAACAATTATTGCTCTTTATTAAAAGAACTCACATTCCACATTAATAATTATGCTACCAAAATTAGTGTGTGTTGTATATTGCCACCAACATTGCTCCTGTTTCTTCATGCTGGAGGCTGCCATTTTGATGAAGCCCAGAGCAGTCACCTCTACTTGGTCTCAAAAACTATATGTCACTTTCTGTACCTGAAATATGTACAATTCCAGCCTTGATGGTATGTCTTGGCTTAGCTAGAGAGGAAGTGCTGAAGATCATAGGCTGATGAGGGAGAAAGGATTGAATATCAGGGAGATAAGATGAAACCCTGTCCTTGTAAGTTTAACTCTTTTGTGTCTCTCTGGCAACAGAGTTTTTCCTGTCTCCTCTCCTGCTATTCTTTCTCTCCCTCCCTAACATGTGTTTCCTCAGCACAGTCTGTGTCATTCCTGTTTCTTTCTTCCTTCTTCAGCAACATTAAACCTTAAAGCTTTCAGCTGAGCAGCCTCTAGTGGCTTTGATTTTAGGCACAGTGTTGAGAATAGAGAGCAACTGAGCATGTGCAGAGCAGGGCGAGACAGTGCATTACTGGATTTTAAACAATGTAGGCACTTATTTTTAATGTTTTACATAGATATCCATGCAAAATTGGCCAGCCCAAAGTGATCTATTAGGACTCAATTGTCTGACTAAAGTTGCACTTTAAGTCAGACCTAATAAACCTTTCAAGGAAGCCTATCAGGATATTTAATTATAGCCAAAGGTGTCCCTAGGGTTGGTTTCACCCAGTGCGGTAACACGTGGTGTCACCCCTCAAGAGAGGAAGGAGCGGTGCCAGTGTAGCGGTAAAATGAGTATCCCGACCCGTGAAGATATGTATCCCCTGAAGCAACTGCGCATGTGCCGTTTTCAGGCCGAAAAAGCCGATCTCCAACTTTAGCACAGAGATGCCATAGTTAACCCCTTACAGGCTACAAACCGCTGAAGCTGATCCCGTGGATCACTATGGGTTACAAGATCAGTTAACCCCGTATAGGTTGAACCTATACAGGGTTAACTGATCATGCAACCCATAGTGATCCACGGGAACAGCTTCAGTGGTTTGCAGCCTGTAAGGGGTTAACTGTGGCAAGTCTGTGCTAAAGTTGGAGATCGGCGATTGGCTTCTTCGACCTGAAACCGGCACATGCACAGTTGCTTCAGGGAATACATATCTTCACGGGTCTGAGATACTCATTGTACCGCTACACCGGGGGGCACCTGTCACTGTGCCGGGAATCCAGGATCACCCAATAACTGGCCAGGACCTTCACAGAGCCCAGAAGCTCTGCTGGCATCCTGCTCCTGCACCCCCTGTGATGGTGTCACCCGGTGCGGCCCGTACCCCACGCACCCACCTAGGGACGCCACTGATTATAGCATTTCTATTGTACTGATATATTGTACAGCACTTAGGTCTATTAACATCAGTGCCTTGAAGGAGGTCACCCCGACTACTCTTATACATAATTTAGAGGGCACTTGGAAAGAAGTCAGTTAAATCAACAGCAATGTTTTGGAGACTGCAGTATCAGGTGGAGACCCACACAAACACAGGGAAAACATAGCCACTGAAATAGGATTTGAGTCTAGACCAAGACCTAAGCAGCAATTCTGCTAATTCTTTAGCTACTGTTGTCTAGAGATGCACCACTGACTGCTTTGAATGTGTCTTTGGGGCTGTCGTTCTGATCCTTGGTTGACTCCCAAATGAGTCACATACTTTACATTGTAACCTGTGATCTGCATACTTTTGGGCCTGCTTTGCTAAGAGTTTAAATAGAGAAGTGAATCTACTTCAGCTGTATTTTGAATATTTAGATGACCCCTCAACTGCTCAAAATTACATAATCAGCCAACACAGACAGTCTCTTGTCCTACAAGTCATAGCAGACAGAGAGACAGGCAAAAAGATAGAAATCAAAAAGTTCAATTGCTGTGGAGCACTAATAAGCGGAAGTTGCAGCATCTTGAATATTAGCAAATATGGCTGCCCACATGTACATATGCATTTAAATAAAATGTACATATACATATTTTTATCAAATGTACATATGCAGTTAACTACATTAAAAGTTTCTTTTTATTATTACAATTTATATTAAACTGATCACATTTGAGTTTATATCTGAAAACATATAGCAACCATAAATATTTTTAATTAAAATATTTTCTCACCCTAACTCAGCAATGCACTATATTCTACAATTTTGGGTTATTTTTCCACTTGTCTGCAGCTTGGATTCAAATAAGAGGTTTGCGTGAACTATAAAAATAAAACATGCCCGATACATTGACATTAACAATGACAATATTATGCATTTTGGTGTGTATGACTCACCTCCCAAAGTGTCCCTTCTTCTTTTAATATGGCAACCAGCATCCCAATGGGCACCATCATGCAAGAAAGAAGACCCATGAGAATCCCTAATGCTTCTGACCAGAAAGGAAACTTGTAGCTGCCGTACTGGGAAGGCTGATACTTCAATATGCTGTAAGCCAATAGGCCCTGGGTGGATATAAACAATCATTTCACAATGTTGTAATGGTAATGTTTCTGATATTGTGACATCAGCTACTGCTCTGATATTATTTATTATCTTTAAAGGATAAATCAAGCAAAGTTTGTATTTTAATTGTGGGAAAATGCTGACTGGTAAAAGCACAACTTATATTTCTAAGTCTTTAGCACTGAGATTTCCTGCAGGTCCCCAGCTTCAGCCAACACCATTTAATTTTATATTGTATTTCTGAAAAAAAAAAGTCTAACTTCTTTGGGTTGTAAAAAGACTTATACTAACATCAAGAGTGTCACATTTTACTTCTCCGGTCACTAGAGAGAAGCAAAATGGTTTTGTCAAAATTCTGATTTTTGCACATTGAGCTGCTTGGACAAAATGTACTTTTTTATTATTTTTTTAAAATTAGATTGTTATTTTTATACTGCTTTACAAATTTTATTTTGCTTTTTTTTACTGTGTTCTGTGAAAAAAAAAGAAAAATAATTAGGGGCAGTTTTTTTTTAGCAAAGAATATATCCAGTATAGCTGAAATGCAGTTTTGTTACCCTCAGTAGTTATTTACTGTAAAGCCCAATGCATGTCTAAAAATAACACACAAAACTCTTAGTTTTGCCTTTCTTTTTAAATCGAATATATTTGCAAAATGAAATCTCTTGATTTTCATCTTATTTCAAGTAAATAAACACTTTAAATGTTGCTTATCCCGAATGGCTACGCTTACTTTTGGTAGTCATAAACCAGCCCATATCGCACACAATCTATGACCACTCTAAAACTGCTCTGCAGGCTATTTTGAATAAAAAGCTCAGCCTAGTAAAATAACATACAGTTAGGGGCGGACTGATCATATGGAAACTCAGGCGCTGCCCGAGGGCCCGGGGTCAGTAGGGGGCCCCATGAGATGCCCCTGGTACCTTTTTCATAGGCTTTTTTGAGTTTGGGCAAGGACACAGGGGCCCCATGATCCCCTATTGCTCGGGGGTCCCATGAGTTGTCAGTCCGCCCCTGCATACAGTAGATGCTTCTTGGAATGCCCAAGTTTAGATGACATCATAAGTCACTCATATCATCCTTTTTTAGGGTGTTGCTCTCAAACAAAAAATCACTGTTACATGACATACCGCTACACAACTCTGCATCACAGAAGGCTGAAATTCTCTAAGTGCCTTAAATCTGGGGACAGGTGGTGATGCTTTATACCAGAAATTGGTGCCTCCTGCTCTCCAATACTCTGGAGTCTTTCCAAATTTATTTTAGCACTTTACTCCTGATCTACACTTTTTTGTGCAATAAAATGACTGATCTGCCTACTGCTATAGTCATTCTCGTTACTTAATTTTAGCTTAGCTATAACTCATACAGTATGTCCTTTTTTCTGTTATACAGAGAAGGGAGATAAATTAACTGGTTCCCCACTGCCCTATAGCAGAACTACTGTCACGTGTGTATATATATGTGAGTTTGCATTTCCAGGTAGGTGGCGCACGCACACACCGCCCTACCTATGCTGCCATTGGGGACTACAGCTGTCAATCACTGGGTCCTGGGTGGAGACTCCAGGCACCTGGCAATTGCTGAGGACCAGTGAAAGGGAAGAGGTCTATGTGTAAGCAATACAGATCTCTCCCCTGTCAGCACCAACATATTTCCGTTGTAAAGCACGCACATTACAACAGCACATAGTTAACCCTTTGATCGCTCCAGATGTTAACTCCTTTATGCCCAGTGCCCTTAGTACAGTGTCAGTGCTTTCTATTAGCACTAATCACTGTATTAGTGTCATTGGGATGTCAGTGGCAGCTAGTCAGCTCCCCCCAGTGTCAGAATGCCCGCAGCAGTCGCTGATCGACGCCATTACTAGTATTAAAAAAAATAATAAATTCCAGTATATATACTGCCATTTGTAGATGATATAACATTCATGTAAACCAATTAATTACGTATTGGGATTCTTATTTTTTTTTTTAACAAAGACATGTAGCAGAATACATTTTGGTCTAAATTTATGACAAAATTTGATTTTTTACATTTTTTTACTGGATATGTTTCATAGCTAAAAGTCAAAAATATTGTTTATTTTTTCAAAATTGTCAGATTTTTTTTTTGTTTATAGCGCAAAAAATAAAAAATGCAGAGTTGATCAAATACCACTGAAAGAAAGCTCCATTTGGGAGAAAAAAAAGGACTTAAATTTCATGTATGTACAACATTGCATGACCGTGCAATTGTCAGTTAAAGTAACGCAGCGCCATAAAAATGGCCTGGTCAGGAAGGGGGGTAAATCCTCTGAAGGGCAAGTGGTTAAGAGACTCAGGAATACTTGAGAGAGGATCACATTGCTAGAGTCCCAAAGAGATGTAAGAAGAGCAATGGAGTAAGTTAACCCACCATGCATAAGTGAAATATTCATTTTGGATGGACTGAACCTAAAAGAATAAATTCCCCTTTTCAGGCAGAATTGCACATTTCCTAATAAATAGCGTTTTGCAGTGCTATTTCTGGCCAGCCACCCAGTGTGTTTCTCTCACTTAACTTATCCAAAAGAGGTTTCATTTTTTTTGTCATCTTATTTGAATTTTGTAACTGATTTTCAGATTCCATCAGTTACTGTAGATCATCTCTCAGCATTCACTTCCTTGTTGCATCACAGAAGAGGGTGCAATAGGGTGTGTTCACCATTCTGGACCTCACCTCCCTCCCTCATTACAATACTGCCTTTCATCAGCTTCCAATACAATCTGGTTGTACAATCTCCTTTAGATCTCCCATCAGGTATGTAGTACAGGGGCTGTCTGATTTGATACAAATTAAATAGATTGTTCAGGTGTGTCTTCCTATTCCATATTTCTGGTAAATTTAAAGGGAATTATTCAAAGATTGTACAATAAGATTGCATAGTATATGGCCATTTTTTTGCAGATTGCATAGGAGGGAGTAGATGGAGACAGTTGTCAGGCCTCATTCACATTATCACGTAGCGAAAACTCACATTCTCGCATGCATTTGTTTTGGAGTGTGTTCACTTGTCACGCATAGGGCAGCCCATTTACTTGAATGGGCTTCCCTACACACAATTGCCCCAGAACAGCTTCTGAGCTTTTGTTGGAGCGGAATGCGGTACGCTACCACAGTTTTTGGTGCATTTGCTGCACTTGGGGTGCCTTTAACATGGGGGGGTTGTTTTTTTTTGTTTTTTCCAAGCATCAACTACTCTTTCAGTAAAATAATAACAAGTGTATGCTTGTTTCTGTGGTTGGTGTGCTGTTAACAATTAATGACACTGAAAGCGCAACTAGTTCATTTTAGGTGTATAAATGTGGCCATACACTATACAATCTGAATCTGATTGTACAATCTCTGTACGGTCTCATTTATATTTACCAAAACTATATAATAGGAGGACACACCATCTATCCAATTTCTCTATATCTAATGAAGCAGGCCCTTGCACTACATCAGGGGTGCTGTGAAAAAAAAGTTGATGGGTGAAGGGTGTGGGTTTTAATGAAGTCAGTGCAGGATGTGTGTGTTAATGATATCAAGTGGTAAACTGCTTTCTGGGTCTTACTGGCTCCTCTGTCCTAAATCTACATGCAGGGGCGGACTGACCATTCGCGCATTCGGGCACTGCCCGAGGGCCCAGGGTCAGTAGTGGCCCCCATGAGATGCCCCTGGTACCTTTCATTGGCTTTTTCATAGATTTTTTTGGGTGTGGGCGAGGACACAGGGGCCCCATGATCCCTTATTGCCCAGGGGCCCCAAAAGTTGTCAGTCCGCCCCTGTCTACATGCCAGTAAGTGCTGAAGCTTTCTTAGAAACAAGGCAAGGGCAAAGGTAAGGCCTTGTTCTCAAAATCAAAGAGAGCTTTTATTTTTTGCAACTGAGGCACAGTAACCATTTGCCCTCCAGAGGATTTACCCCCCTTCCTGACCAGGCCATTTTTTGCGATACGGCGCTGTGTTACTATAACTGACAATTGTGTGGTCGTGCAACGCTGAAACCAAATGAAATTTAAGTCCTTTTATTCCTACAAGTAGAGCTTTCTTTCGGTGGTATTTGATCGCCTGTGCATTTTTTATTTTTTGCGCTATAAACAAAAAAAGATCAACAATTTTAGAAAAAAAAATATTTTTGAGTTTTTGCTATTATTTATGCCCAGTAAAAAAATCTAAATAAATTTAGGCCGAAATGTATTCTGCTACATGTCTTTGCTAGAAAAAATACTAATATGTGTAAATTAATTGGTTTATGTGAAAGTTATAGCGTTTATAAATGGCAGTATATATACTGTAATTTTAATTTTTTTACTATTAATGACTGCGATCAGCGACTTATAGTGGGACTGTGGCGGGCATTCTGACACTGGGGGGAACTGACCTGGTGTCACTGACATCCCCAGTGATACCAATACAGTGATCAGTGCTAATAAAAAGCACTGATACTGTACTAATGACACTGGACAGGAAGGGATTAACATCTGTGGCAATCAAAGGGTTAACTGTGTGCTGTTTCACTATGGGGGTTGTGTGTGTGCTTCACTGTAAGCACACTGCTTTGTATGGCCCTGCTATGCAGTGTCATACAAAGCAGTGCGCAGGAGCTGACAGGGGAGAGATCTGTGCTGTTTATACACAGGCCTCTCCCCCGTCAGAGATACTCGGCGATCACCGGGTGGTGGTGATTGACAGCCGACGGCCGCGAATAGCGGCGTGCGCCCCCTACCTGGAACTGCAAAATCATGTATCCAATGAAGGAAATAAGTATTCGATCCCCTGCTGAATTTGAATGTTTGCCCACTCACAAAGAAATGATCAGTCTAAAAATCGAATGGTAGATGTATTGTAACACTGAGAGACAGAATAGCAACAAAAAATTCAAAAGAAATGCATGTCTAACAAATTATGCACTGATTTGCATGTTCATGAGGGAAATAAGTATTTGATCCCCTTCACAAAACATGACTTAGTACTTGGTGGCAAATTCCTTGTTGGCAATCACAGAGGTCAGACGTTTCCTGTAGTTGCCACCAGGTTTGCACACATCTCAGGAGGGATTTTGGCCCACTCCTCAAATACTTATTTCCCTCATGAACATGCAAATCAGCGCATAACTTGTTAGACATGCATTTCTTTTTGAATTTGTTGTTGCTATTCTGTCTCTCAGTGTTACAATACACCTACCATTCGATTTTTAGACCGATCATTTCTTTGTGAGTGGGCAAACATTCAAAATCAGCAGGGGATCAAATACTTATTTCCTTCACTGTATATACGTGATTTTGCGCACCCGTGCCGCTCTGTAGCAGAATTTCTTCTATAGGGCAGCACCAAACTGGTTCATGGTATATTGGTGCATAAGGGAGCTGGATTTTAGAAAACTTAACTAGAAACTGCCAAGGGTCTGAACTCCTAATGGAGATATGGAACCCAGGGCCTCATATAAACTCCATAAGGATCCACCGTTGCGGGTATATTTTGACGAATCTTGCAGGTTACATGAGAACACAGCCAGTGAAATACACTATGTACCTGGCAGAATTCTATTTTCCCTGTCTTGTTGCACATACATTAGGCTCAAGGCAGAAACACATTGTATAATTCTCCCAAACATTGATATGTGAGAAATTATGCACACAGGAAGCTGAAATAAGGTCATCACAAACACAGTCACCTAATTTTACCTTACCAGTGCTGTCACTTCACTGCAATAAATAAAAGGATAACACAGATGCACAGTGCAGATTATTTAAGACGCTATATTTTAAAGGCTTTCTGCCTTGTTGAGAATTATGATGTGTAAATGATGCAATTAATCAATTGTCCAGAGCAGAATGTATTTATAGAGAGGGACTGCTATGGGTGTGCAGAGGAGGGTTCTGAGAAACCCTGGGGATACTGCAAGCTGTCACTTATGCAATCCCAGGGATTTCCTCAACATTTCTGCTTCATCGGTCTTTCAACACATTGCTTCTTTCTGATGATCATTTCTTTTTTTTGCAGTATTAAAACAAGAGATTGGTGGTTACCCCAGACACTGAAATGTAAGTGTGGGTGTAAATATGATGTGTATGCGTTTTGTGTAGGTGTAAAGAATTGAATGGGAATGTATGTACACATTCATAGTAAGTCTTTGGCACACTAAGGATGATTGCATTGTTATTGAAAAACCTATAAATAAAGGGTTGTTTTGGCACTCCACTATATATGAGCCTTGGCTGCTGGGGACTGTGTAGAACTTGCATGTTGAAGAACAGAACTTCACTCTCTCAATCAGCTTTGACTATTTAAAATACTTATGCTGTTAGCATTAGTAAACAGATAGAAAAGTATATCATATTTACTTGTTTTACTCTTTTTGTTTTTAACATTTCTGCAGTTACTTCCTATATTCCATGCCTAGGCAAATGATGTCATACTGTACATCCCAGGAGTCTTCAGGAGGGAAGGAGGGATTTTCTCAGCTAAGCACACCCTCCTGCCTGCATGCCTGAGCTAAGAGCAGAAGGATTCCAGGAAGTAAATGGTACATGAATCGGGGGGGGGGGGGGGGGTTAGGCATTCCTCCATTCACCTCATTTGTGATATGGCCAGCAGTGTAAAACAATGTATAGTCAGCTCAAATTGCATGTACACTGCTGTACACTGACTGGAGAGAATTGTTTTGAAATTACAGACGCATATAGTACAGGATTGGAATGTGTGTATTTACATATCTTGTGATTTATTTGATGAAATATGGTACCGTGCTAATCTTAGGTTGAAAAAAAATATCAGTTATGTCCAGTCTACTCACAATTAATGTAACTGGTGATAAAAATGCCCAACAAGCTTTAAAATAGATACCCGGTTTGAATCCAAGCATCATTTGTATATCCCGGCAAAAATTCTTTATTCCTAGACAAATGGACAAAAAAAGGTTTCATTCACAGCAATTTCATGCTCACTATTTCATAACAGTCCATAGACAAGCAAGTGTAAAGTAGGATGTTTTGGACAAGCAAGCAGCCACTTTATGGCCTGTGTTGATAGGTTTTTGTTTGTTTCAACCAATGTTTAAATTGCATGTCATGTGAATGCAAAACTAACTGCAGTCCAAATACACCTGCCAATGAATTCTGAATGATCTCAGAAGTGTTTCAAACTGATGCCATCGACACAGGTCATTAAATGCCAGTTCACGTATATATGCGGATTGGAGGCAGTTTGAACTGAATCCAATCCGCATGACATGTGAAATAACATTGCTTCCCATAGTGCCTGTTCACATATGTCTGGTGCACTGGCAGTGTGGATTGAAAAAGAGTCCTGTACGATTTGTGAGCACTGCTGTACGGTTCAGGTGCAGATTACAGGCTCCTGACTTCTATGGGAACCGCTTCTAAAACGTACATGTTATCAGTTGTGAACAGGATTGCAGTTCAGGATCAGGATTGCAGTTCAGGATCAGGTTTCAGCATAGGTTGCCCTTCTCCCCTCTCCTCTCCACTTCAGCAAAACCAAAAAACCTTGCAAAACCATATCCAAACTGGCCCTGAACCTGTGAACAGTACAATCTGCAACTGTGCAAAAACGAATCCTGAACCAGCCCTGAACAAGTAGACTGAAACTGGACCTTGAAATCCAGAATGCACACGTGTGAATCGACACTAAAGTTTATACATAGCATACAGACTGACCAATGTGCATCAGCATTGTACAATTTTCTCTACCACCCATCACTCAGATCAGTACCTTATTGGCTGCAGGATTAGCAATAGAGTATGAGAAAATTATATTTGAAGTGGAGCTCCACCCAAAAGGGGAAGTTCCGCTTTAAAGACAGGTCCCTCGCTCCCCATTAAGGAGTGGCACCTTTGGGAGCAGGGGTGGCGGGTACCTGAAATTGACAGGTACCTGCTCCCACTTACACTGTGATTGTCAAGTTTTCCCTCCCCCCCCATGTGACAGGTCCCAGAAACTATGGGACCATTCAGAAAGCGCAGCGCTGCTCGCGCATGCGCAGTGGGCACCTGGCTGTTATAAATGATAATCATATTGCCAGCCAACAATGTAATTCTGTTCAGCGAGGCTTGTGGTCCAAGCACTAGAAAATGAAGCCAACATTTTCCTTTTCTTCATAACAATTAAGCAAAACAGCTGGGTTGCGTATACACCCCAACATGCTGACTGAACAATGAAAGAACCGCCTCTTTGCTCTTTCATCCTGTCATCAAGCTCAGAAATGTTACCTTGATGCCACATAGAGGTTGATTTACTTAAGGTAAATAGACTGTGCACTTTGCAAAGTGCAGTTTCACTTTGCAAGTACAGTTGCTCCAGAGGTTAGTAAATGAGGTAAAGCTTCACTCTGCAAAGAATACCCAATCACATGCAAGGAAAAAAAAAAAAAACTGCATTTTTGCTTGCACGTGATTGGATGATGGAAACCAGCAGAGCTTCTGCTCATTTAATAAGCTCTGGAGCAACTGCTCTTGCAAAATGCAACTGCACTTTGCAAAGTGCAAAGTCTATTCAGATACCTTCTGTATGCTAGCTGTATTTCAAAATACATTATAATTATTATAGGAATACGTATCTGGATTACATGGTAGTCTTTTACATCAGCTTGGATAAGGATATCTCTAAAGTTCATTTTGGGTGGATGTTCAAGGTTCAGTACCCCAACAGCTTGTTATTATTAGATTATCTTTGCAGGGAAATCCTCCCTATGGATTTCAAACACCATTGTGTATTTATGCCATGTTCATATTTCACCTGCTGCGCTCAGCAATAAATTGGAGTTGCAGGAGTAGTTCTAAGGCTTTATTGTCAACCATAAAGCCAAGGGACTGAGGCTAAAGCCAGGATCTGAAAAAGAGGATGCCTTTATCAGAGACCCAAATTATCGTAAGGTGCCAGTTGATGACTGAACCACTTACATTCACCTAAAATGGAATTGTCTGTTTCAGATTATTTAGACAAATCTCTAGGACTGAAAGTAGCAAAATACATGGCCAGAAGAGTGAAATAAAATGAGTAAAATAATGACTGCACATGTTTAGCCTTTTCTCCTCCTTAACCTGCTGCTCAACTCCCTAGCATGCAGTGCTGTTACGGCAATTAAAGGCCATACGACCTACCGTATATTCTTGAAATCGAGAGGCAGAATGTGATTACTATCACCAGAAGGCCAAATCCTGCACTGTAGTCATCCAAAAAGACCAGCCAATACATTCCACCCTGGAGCATTGAAACACAGACATTGTATTACATGCACGAAATAATCATAAAATAATTGTGCTGTTTCCATTAACAAATTAGTGTGTAATGTATAGACCAACAATACCCAGTATTAAATTATATGTCACTTTAGTTTTTGTTTTCACAGATTCTTGCCCACTGGTTTTCCTTTCAGTTTTCAAAAAAATACTTGTACTCTACTGCTACCTACCAATTTGTATGCTTAATGACCAACTGTATATCCCCTCAGTCTGTAACCATTGTAAACCCTACCTCCCACCTATGCTATTAACCCTTTTGACTACCTTATATTATATGTACTCTTTTACACCTAGATTCTAAATAAAATTATCTGTAGCCAAAAAGTATACATCAACTTTATTCATGCTACAAGACAAAGGTAAATATACTGTCAATGACCAGTTGTTTTATATACCTAATATATTTGTTAATGCTATCAGTAGCTTTTTTGAACAAAGAAAAGTTGTCCTGAGCCATAGAATGTTGGTCAGTTAACATGTCTGATTGCTGAAAACCCAACTCCAACCAGATTTGGATATCTTGGGCAAAGGTAAGAACCTTGTTAGGTTTTTATTTTTTTTACTTCCTGTCCTAATGACAAATGTCACAAGCACAGGAAAGGAAAAGTAATCTCTTGGACAGAGACAGCAAACTAACTTTTAAAAATATTAGATTTTGGAAGACTCAAAATCCCAATAACTTCCTTTCCTAGCATGTTAGTGTCATGGGAAAACTCTCTAAAAGATCCAATAAATAATTCCTATGTTCCCCAGTCTACCAAAACTAAAAAAGAAAGGTTTGGGCATTATCTGGGTTTTAATTTGTCCGCAGTGTACTCAGATACATTGGAATGTTGCCTGTTCCAGCCCAGTCATTTCATGTCTATGGGTGCTTTATCTTTAGAACTAAGTTTAGTGGTCCAAGGAAAAATCAGGATCTGGAGAAAAGACTTACATCCGTTGTGAGGATTAACCCCAGCAGAAACAGTGCAACACAGATGATAAAGGAGAAAAAAGCTTTCTTGGGTCTGAGGTAATAAGGGAACTCATCTGTAATGGCCGTCACAATGGTCTCCATGAATGCAAACTGCGAAGGACACAAATAATATCCTGAATGAAAACAGGAGAAAAAAAAATCTACAGCATTCACTCATGTATTAACAGGTTATGTGATGAGCAGGTGCTTAATAAGTAAACATCATAAGATGTACAGCTTAATTAGTATGCAATTAATGTATTGAATGTACAACAGTTTGGTTTATTGACTTGGTTGATTTAAAGTTGAAGTCCAGCTTTTAGTACACTTAACATGGACATGTGAGGCCGCTGAATGTGTTGTATAACCTGTATGTAGCTGAAGCTACGTACAGCACTGTGTTCCATGTGCGAGCCGAGACCTTCCTGTCTCAGACCCAGAACACAATAGAGTTTGTCTGAGTGGCGCCCAGCGACCCATAGAAAGTGATGTATTCTATCAATGAATACAACGTTTCCTCTGATTGACTGAGTCAGAGAAGCGGGCTGATGTCACAACCTCTGACTCAATCAAGAGGAAGCTTTGTATTCATTGATAGAATTCATTGCTTTCTATGAGTGTCTGAGCGCAGTTTAGACAGTCTAATGTGTTTCAGGTCTGAGACGGGAAGGTCTTGGTTCTCATCTGGAACACAGTGCTGTAGCCTGTATGAAGCCTTAGCTATATACAGTTTATAAGGCACATCCAGCAGCCTCACGTTAGTGAGGAACATAGTTTGTTTGGGCCAGCTTGGTAACTATATAAAGTGTACCAACAGCTGGAGTTCAGCTTTAAGATTCTGATAGACTTCAGATAAGTGAAAAATTAATGACTATAGGGAAGAGAGCCAAGGCTGTCCATACACAGGCTGAACAAAAGAAAATGATTTGATTTCCCCATCTACACACTCAGTTTGGATGGGGAACATCCTCCCGTTGTGCTATCGTATTCTGAGAGTGGGGAGGCCTCTGCACCATAAGAATACACTGATCAGCACCACTGGCTATAGCCAGCAGCGATGATCGAAAGAAAGTTTTTCAGCAGGCTGGTTATACACAAGATGCTTGATAGATCGTTTTGTGTACAAACAGCCTGTCCATACATGGATCAAATTTCAGATTCATTTCCATACATGTATGGCTGGACCAGGGGTGGACTGACAACTCATGGGGCCCCCGGGCAATAGGGGATCATGGGGCCCCTGTGCCCTTGCTCAAAAAAGCCTATGAAAAAGATACCAGGGGCATCTCATGGGGCCCCCTACTGACCCCGGGCCCTCGGGCAGTGCCTGAGTTTCCAAATGGTCAGTCCGCCCCTGGGCTGGCCTAAATCTATCAGTCGAGAGATCAGGAGACAAGATCTCTCAGTATAAGTCAGTAAAATGGTGTGGTGTCTACACACTTATACTGTATATGGCTTACGATGTGGACACCTGCCAACTACACCTATATGAACTTGTTGGACATGCCATTCCAAAACCAAGGACATTATTATGGAATTGCCTTACGCCCCAACTCATTTCCATCTTGAGGCTATAACAGACTCCACTTTACTGGGAAGGCTTTCTGCAAGCTTTTGGAGTGTGTCTGCCGGAATTGTTTGCCCATTAGACTAAAAGAGCATTTGTGAGGTCAGGTACTGTGGTTGGATAAGAACACCTGCCTCCCAATTTGCGTTCTAGTTCATCTGAAAGGTGTAAAGTTGGGTTGAGTTCAGGGCTCTATGCAGGTCATTTAAGTTTCTCTACACCAAACTTGGCAAACTGTCATTATGGGCCTAGCTTTGTGCATGGGGCACTGACAAGCTGGAAGATATGAGTCTTTCTTAAACTGTTTGCAGTTGTCTAATGTCTTTATAAGATAATTTTTGTCATTAGCTATTGCATTGTTATATGCTCAAGGTATGTATAAGTAGCAGTGGGGAGACTTTAAGTGAATGTGTTACAAAAGGCAAGGAACAGGTTCATTCTAAAGAGAATTATAAATATAATATAAATTTATTATATTTTATTTAATATGCAAAGCTGGATCTGGACTTTGATATTTACCATGTACAGTGGCAAGGTCTAGACAACTGCACCAACTTTCTAGAGACTGAATTACAAACTAGACAGACCTGAATGTACTGGAGGGGGAATTACTAAAAAGTGTATTAGACAAGTTCTATATGAACTGGTGCTGTTGCTCATAGCAACCAATCAGCTTCTATATTTCATTTTTTCCAGACAATTAGAAAATTAAAACTTGTATTCAATCCCCCCACTGTGTTAAACCTGACAAGCACTAGGTTATATTAAATTTCATTAGATAACACATGGAACGATTCAGACAAGGAACATGTCCCCCTTGAGGATGTAGAGCCATCTGGTTTAGTCAGTAATACAAAGATAAAAAAAATCACGTAGGCAGCCCTTAAACTAAGAGTCAAAAATAAACAATTTAACTTTTCAAATGCTGGATGTATGTGAAAACACAGAATCACAATATGATACATTAGTCAACAATCCTTAAGTTAACATTTTACCAACAGCTCACTCATAAATGTGCAATGTGCTAATGTGCAAAAAAATCAATATGGCCAATGTGCTTCAGTTCACTGGGCCTTATATGTATGACCCTAAAGAGAATTCCTTTGACTTTACTGTTATTGCCCAGCACCAATATTTACACAAACCAGTGTTTGAAATTCAGTTTTAGTTTTTAAAGTGAACTGCTTACCTGGCTGTCTAATCCTAGAGTCAAAAGCATGAAGAAGAAAAGGAATGACCAGAAAGGAGACAGAGGAAGCATTGTCATGGCTTGTGGATACACTACAAAGGCCAGTCCGGGACCTGCAAAATACATAGCAAATGATTAATATATAGTCATTATTACACATTATACAGAATGTGTTTTTTAGTTTTGGTTTGAGAGGGAAGGGATGGGATTTCTATAGATTTTATTAATGTGTGTGTCCTCGTTTGGGAGATTTCCCATCACTTTCTGTATTGCAGACAATGTTGATAGCAATAAACTAATGTCCGGAGCGCTAACCCACTCATCTTATATCCCAAAGTAAAGACACATGAGACATAATTTATTTGTTAATATAATATCATATAAGATAAAAGTTCCAGAGGTGACATCTTTAAAGTAAACCTAAGCCCAGAAGGTTATTTACATACTTTGCACAAACAGTAAATGTACTTTAGACAAGCCTTCATTTGCCTCTCTAGCTGTAAGCATTGTGAAGAAACTCATCTTCAAAGTTCACAACAGAGGGGTTGACATCTTAGCTCTTGTCCTATTACTTTCCATTGCAGCATATGCTTGGCACGCTGCCAAGCCACTACACAACTTTCAGGTGTTTTTAAGCTGTTAGAAATCAATTGAAACCCAAATTTAGTGTCACTGTTGTGACCTTTTGGATCTTTGAGAAATAATTTTGTCACAGTACATGCAGCTCATAGAGAAAGCATGGAGCTTCCAGCAGTAAAATTTGCCTTTTAAAAACAAAAGTCAGTAACGGCAGCTAGTGCAGTCCTGTCCCGAAAGGTTCTCTTTAATTGTGGAACCATTACCAACAAATGAGATAAAAGCAATATCTTTTACAGTATATTTAGTGGTGTTAACAGTTTTTCCAATTTGAACCAATATTCTGCTTTTTAATAACAGTCATTCTTGTCAAGTGGATGGAGAACAGTCATTCTGGCATTTGAGGAATGGATATTCTTGGACTAGATTCTCAACTCTCTCTAATAAATGATAGACATCTGAGCTCAGCTGTCAAATAATCTTTGTTACTGGTAACAGAAGTCTGTAGAAATCAACACATTTGTTGGCTCTTCACAGCTTAGTTGGTTTAATCTGTCATTTGGCTAATTAGTAATTTGGGCAATTGCCATACACAACTAGAATGCAATGCAATCGGAAGCATTTCAGCATGACAACAGTGCATTCTAAAAAAAAAAAAGATAAAAAAAACTGTTGAAGAGCAACCCACAAAAGAATTTAGATTAATTTAAGGTTATGTACAAATCAGAATTTTATATGTGTCATGCGGCACTCCCTAGAACTCTCCTTACTGTGCAAAACTCAATGTACAGACATCAATACATATATACGAAAATTAAATGTAATAAACCAATTATTTTATCAGTGTGTATAATATAAACAAGTCCAAGACCAATGCTTATAGTCCCAAGAGATATTATTTTGTGACCAAACAGTATCTTCCTCCACTCTGTGCTAAGTAGTCACAGCAATCCACATTAATATGCAAGTGGGTCCCACCACCTGTCCTCCAATAGTGGACATAAAACTTTTGTTATTAGGTCTAGATGGGCATAGGGCTCGTATACGGTCCTGGGATTCCTCAATATGGATCTTCTCCCCTTTTGGTATGACATGTGGTGTATGTCCCTTTAGGAGACCACCGGGGAAGTACAGTGAAACCAGGTTTTCCCTGACTTCCTCTCCAGGCTGTGGTAGCATACATAAATAAAAAATCACTTACAAACTTCAAAGACAAATGAGCATGTAAGTCATAAACGCCCCTGGTGCCGGCTCCAGACAGGCGTGGGTGACTTCAGCACAATCTCCGCCCAGCCCCAACGTATGTTTCATGTCAATAGACTTTGACAAGGGAATCAAAGTGTCTGGTATTGAACTGGTTAAGGAGCTTACGTAAAAAAAAAACATTGCTTTGAAAATGTCTCAACATTTGTGCTAACATAACAGATAATACTTGTAAGATTTGTGATATGTGTGTAATAGTTTCTTTGTTGCCTTTCACCCAGCAAATGCACCATTTCCTTACATTCAATCCCAGGAAAAGAATAGCTATTAGAACATTTAACCATGAGAATTACCATTCACCAATAGAGAAAATAGCCTAACACTATAGGCTAAAAAAAATTCAATCTGCAGGGGAAGTAATATGAGGTAGACCTCAGCAGTCTGTACAGTCAATGGAGAATCTTGTGCAAATGGCTAGGAAAACCTCCAGCTGCAGTGTAAAATAAACATATACAGTGCTTAGCATAAATGAGTACACCCCAACAGATTTGTCAGAAAACCTTTACTTTACTTTCAGAATCAACATTTTCTATGGGACACTATGCTACAAAATACTCCCATAAATGTGGACCATTGGTTGCAAACAAGATTTATTAACTTGTGCACACACAAATGTATTTTTCCTAACAAATTAATTCAATACCATGTTGCAAAATTAATACACCCCAATGAAAGTCTTAGAAGCAAAGCTAAATTTTAGACAAAATCCTAATTAACAAGGATTCAACTACAGGTGAGCCTAATTATTCATTAAACAGGTGTCCAGCAGACAGTTGATTATAAAAGGGCGTTACTTAACAAAGAAAGCCCCTTCCCATTTCATGCTGTCAGCAATGGCACCACATGGAAGAGAAATGTCACAAGGCCTGAGAAAGAAAATCATTTCTTTACACATGAAAGGTGAAGGCTATAAGACGATCAGCAATGCTTTACTTATCAGTCAGAATACTGTAGCAAAAGTGATACAAAAAGTTAACAAAGATGGAAATACAGCCATCTCACAGAGACATCCAGGCCATCCCCGGAAGTTGACACCTTGACAGAAGCGTCTTCTGATGGGAAGGGTTGAAGAAAATCACCATGCAAGTTCACTACAATTTGCTAAAGAAGTAGAAAGCCAAACTGGGGTGATTGTTTCCCATGACACAATATGGCGTGCACTGCAGAGGAATGGCATGCATGAGTGTCGTCCACATAGGAAGCCTCTCCTAAAGCCTATGCACAAAAAAACCCACCTAGAATTTACAAGGGCACATGCTGAAAAAAGAAGACTACTGGGACTCTGTACTTTGGAGTGATGAGAACAAGATAAATGTTTTTGGAACTGATGGCTTCAAAACTGTATGGCGTCGCAAAGCTGAGGGGTACAAAGATAAATGCATGGTGCCTACAGTGAAACATGGTGGTGGCAGTGTCCTTCTGTGGGGCTGCATGAGTGCTACTGGTGTCAGGGAGCTGCATTTCATTGATGGTATCAAGCAACCTTTCAAAGCAAGGCCCCCCTCCAGGTTTTGCTCCTTCCTCCACATGAATAAGTCAGGGGTACACCAAACACACATTTGTTTGGCTGTTTGCACAAGAATCTGCATTGATGATGTGCACTGAGCACAGGTCTCCGACATATTATTTCCACCACTCATCAAATGTTCTTAGCTTATAGTGTTAGGCTGGCCATACATAATCATTTTTTGACCAAAGTCCCCCATTCACACATTTGATGTGGATGGGGGAATCACTTCCACTGAGCTATTGTGTTCTGACAGCGGGGAGACTATAGCTGGTGGCACTGATCAATCCAAAAAAACCTGACAGGCTGGTTGTACAGAAGTCAAACGTTAGATCAACTTTTGTACAACCAGCCTGCCCATACATTGATCAAAATTCGGCCGGTCTCTACTGAACCAGTCAAATTTTAATCAATGTATGGCTGCCCTTAGGCTATTTCCTCTATTGGTAAATGATAATTCTCACGGTCAAATGTTCTCAAAGCTATTTTTCTTCTATGATCCAATGTTAGGAAATGTTAGATTCATCCACAAAAGGCAACAAAGAATTTAATATACACATATTAAAAACATTGAGTATTATTCCTTACGTATGTGCAAATGATGAGACATTTACAAAGCAAAGTTTTTATAAGTAGACCCCTAAGTGACGTATGTGCATTTTGTAATATCCTCTTGTAGTAATAGTAACTATCTGTATATGCACAATTATTATTATGCTCAAAGTACCGATGATCTATTTTTTCAGAAATTATATGCCCAGGGATGCATGAGGGATGTAATTTGCCTAATGTTTTAAAACGAAAAGTTGTCTCTTCTATCATTGGGAGGTATACATTGTATTTTTCATTGCAAGCAGTACAAATTGATTCTCCTCAATGGTTCAGGAAAGTTTCACTAATTATTAAGATAATAAATTCCTGGCAGCTCTCTGATCATAAAAGATATGTGAAACCCAAAATAACTGGAGCAAAGGCAGAAGAATTAGCAGAACGGATGCAAAAAAGCTGCCAAAAATCCAATCCTAGCAGATTCAGGATGAAAATGAAAGGCACCATCTGGCTAGCAGAATATGTACAACAGGCATCCAGTGTGGGATGTAGACAGTTACAGCAGTAAAAGTCAGTGCGTAAGATTAGAGCCTTAAGGCGACCATTATAAAAATAAAGAAAGCATACTGAGTAGGTCTTATCTATTCATCATCAGGAAATCACTGTATTGGCTTATTTAAGGAACAGTTGAAGTCACAGAAATAGATATGCAGTCAGATAGACTTTGCACTCCATTTTTATAGCCTTACCTCCCTTTTCCTAATATTTCAGTTGTGCAGCGTGTCTACATATGACTGTGCACCAGTGTTAGACCAAGTGCACCCTATACTGTAGCAGATCTGGTCAGACAAACCCCTTACCCTTCTCTTTAATACATGTCTTTGTGAGCAAATGTGTGTTGAAGGGTATGGCTATTACTCAACTCTGCCAACACTGAGCACTGACGTGTAAAGCCCCATACACACAGGCTGAATATCAGCCGAAATCAGCGGGTACAGTAGAAACCAGCCGACATTCGGCCTGTGTGTGCAGGTCCTTGTTTGACAGAAGCCAATTTCACGGGCAGCTTCTGATGAACTAGTTTGCTGGATAACCAGTAGCCGATCGGCATCCGATCAGTGCTTTTAACCAATGGCTGCGAACACTGACCAGTGTGTTCTGGTAGAGGGTGATCTCCCTATCAGAAAACAATAGCTCTCATCGCATTGTTAGTACAGA